CCCATCTCACTCTATCTTCTATCCTTTTTCTCTGTTGGTTTCCATTCCTCGTTCTCTTTTAATCTCTTCTCTGGAACTCCTCACTGTTTTACCACCTCCCCTCTCTCTTTTTCTCTGTTGTTCCTTTTTGATGTTCTTTGTTTATTCCTTCCTCTCTGCCCCTGCTTCTTTGCAAACTTGGATATAAATCATTAGGACATTATTATCAATTCAGAACTTCATAATTTGGGCAGCAGCAGGAGGAGGAGGTTTTTATGAGCCGAGTGGCTGACCTATAACAAACAACACCACCCAACACACTCACACACAGAGACAGTCTGTCCAGCACCTAGAGCCAAACGTCTCCCTCTGAGGTCTCATAGCAGTGTCTTATAAACTAAACTAACCCTGCCAAAGCATATTTGTTCATTTAGTCTCTCAGAGACAAATTTGGAATTGTTTTTGTACAGTGTTTTCTACTAAACTGAACTAACCCTGCCTGAGGGCTTTGCCATTATAATTTATTCTCCTGGAGACAAATAGACTTTAGTAGACCAGAACAACATATGGCTAGTGGGGGAGAATTACAGTCAAAGTAAAAAAAACATAATAAATAAATAAATAAAAAGAATATTAATAATAATTTGTAGAATATCATTAAGTGGAACTGTTTATAATAAAATGGAGTTGATGAACATCCTAAGAATGTCTAATTAAAGAGAAAGTAAATCTGAAGGGGGTAAAGCATAATAAATGTGTTTGCAACAGTGCACAATAAAAGTATACTGGACAAACTGAATACAATTCATAATAATAATAATAATAATAATATTTATTTAATAATCTTCTGTGGTTGATAATTCTAGAAATGATTTACTTAACACTTGAATGTATGTGTATTTGTGCATCGTATGGTTGGCCGTGTGTGTGTGTGTGTGTGTGTGTTATCTTTCTCATTTGTTTAATATTTTCCATGTTTTACCATAAAGCACATTGAGTTTACCTGTGTATGAAATTAGCTATACAATGTATGTAAACTATTGTGTTTTTTCCTCTCTTCCAGGGGTTTGCAAGTGGTTCCACAAGATAAGAAATCAACAGGAGCGTCAGTAGTGGTATTGGCAATGTTGCAGTCAGAATATTGATCTATCCTCACTGCACTGACACTGTTGACACGCGTTTCCTTACTCGAACGTGAAGTAATGTTATAATATGCTCCAGTAATTATGCATTAATTTTCTCATTGGCTGGTTTACTGAAATCCACAGACAGTTGAACTGAAACTATATTTTAAAGACAACCTGTGAGAAGTAGTGTGAGATGTTTTTAGAGATGTCCTACAATATAAATATGCTTTTTTTGTAACAATGTGTAAAGATTAGGTTTCTTATTAGCAGTAACCTTTTCAGCCACCCAACCTGCCCTTCTGCTAATGTGTAAGAGTGAAAGGTAATGGAGATGACTGACAGCTGACAGGGAGTAGTCAATCAATCACAAGCCTGTTAAAAACTCCACTAATTAATCAACTAACCTATCCCACTGACACCCCACATTAACATGTTGATTAACCTTTTAAACTAATTAAGATCAATTAAGATCAATTATACAAATTAAAAGCAAATCTCAGGGGGAGTGGTCAGGTTGTCCGTCAATCAAGGAGAGTGTCTGAGCCAGAAGGAGAGATGTGGAGAGAGGGTGGTTATAGGTGAGAGGAGAAGATCGGATAGGAAAGAAAGATCAGAGGAGGAAGAGAGAGGAAAATATAAAGGAGGGTCAAGGAGAAGGATGAGTGATGTGAGATTAGGAGAGGTAGGACAAGGATTAATAAAAACTTGAACTTTGATTTCTAAAAGCTCCTTTCTATATGCTGCATGTGTACATTAAGAATACTTCCATGGCGATCCAAATCAAATCTGTCAGTGGTGGTTGCTCTTGCTTTTTTGGCAATTTGCCTTTACTTTTACATAGAGGTCGTTCAAACACAAGCAGCATCCGCTGTGAGGTGTCATCTGGGGTCATATTCGACCTAATGAACTCGTCATACCCACAGATGGGGAAATTATGCAGAGTTAATATAAAATCATCACTGAATTAATTGGGGTTTCACTTATTTAATTGGCTTAATTGACCACAGTCCTGCAAGTAGCTCATGCAATACCAATACAGTATAAATGTACGGGGTCATAAAGGAACCCTTTTTCAGATGCACATATCTAATGTCTAATGTATAATATCAGCTATAGAACAATACATCTACATTTGTTCCCTAATGTCCACACTGGATACTAATTGGTACCTCAATAGCCAGTTTTTCAGATGCTAACACCAGTAGGGAAACCATCGCTTGTCAGTTTGAAGAAAGAAAAAATACATTCAAATATGTTCAGAAAGGTTTCTCAGTAATGACAGCGATGGCTGGCGATAACCCAACAAAAAATAGCTAATTACCATAATTACTGCCGAAAGGAACCACAGTGTTACATTCACCATTGTGTGTGGACAAAAATACCTACAAAAAGAGAGCGGAAAAAAAAGTTTTCATAACTGCTCTTCAAAAGAGAGTATTACATCACATGTGACACATCTTTGAATGTAGTCTGTGTTTTATGTCTTTTCAAAACATGACATGTAAACACTAACATAGCATGTCCAAATAATGCCCAGTTTTCAGGACAGCACATGGCACCAGTCCCAGCTCCGGATAGGTGGCATTTTGAATGGGTGCACACCTAATATTCTTATTCTTCTACTATTCTTCTTGCCTGTGTCTGCTTGGTATTTTGGTGACTTGCTATGAACTTGAATGTTCTGCAGTAAGATGTGAGGCACAGTAGGGAGTGTGTCAGTAATAATCAAGTGGTACAGTGCAGTTGTGGTGTCAAACATGACCATGATTTACGTGTTTCCTACCCGCCTACTCAGACCAGGTCAATGACGCATGGAGGAAGTAACACTGTACTGTTCCCATGACTTTATTTTAAACTGGTTTAACTCTACAACAATAAACACACACATTCTTAATTAAAGTGGAGAAGTTAGAGGAGCTGATACATAAAACACCTACTGATAGTGTATTTCAATCACACTCTGCTTCCAACTGTGCTGCAGGTGCGCCACACGCCTCTGGCCATAAAAATACAAAACACAGCTCCATGGCCTGTGTACCTTGTGATGTTGAATAGACTTGATGCAGCATGCGCTAGTGATTCATAAAGAAGGGTGATTACAAGAACACATCTTTTTGATTGTTTGAAAAAACAATCTGAGACTAAGGAAGAAAAACAAGTAAAGGGTAAAATGTAAAACCTATCTCTTCTTTGTCTGTGCAGTTGTTCCACACATTCAGCTCTTATTATCGCTGCTGGGAGACTTGGACGTTGCCAAATAAATTTCCTAATGTTTTCCACCAGTTAGGGTTTGTGTCAAAGAAATCTTACTGTACGCCTATGAGCAGTTTACCCGAGAGAAAAAGAAAGAGTAAAAGAGAGAGAAAGAGAGATGCAAAAAGATGGAGACAGTGAGAGAAACTGTAGTAGAGAAGAGACGGGAAAATTGGAGTCAACAGGCGTAATTAAAGGGAGTTAGAGGCAAGATGATGGGGAAAAACTGTCAGTTGGAGGCAAAAAATCAGCAGAGAGAAAGAGGAAAACAGAAAGGCAAAAAAGAAAACAAAGAGGCAAAAAAAGCTAAAACAGAACTTCGAGAAGTACCGTCATTAACAAACACAAAGACATCTGTAGTTATAGTATATATATATATATATA